AGGAGGAGGAGGAGGAGGAGGAGGAGGAGGAGTCGCAGCAGCAGCAGGGCGGAGGATGGAGAGGAAGAGGAGGAGGAGGAGGCGGAGGAGGAAGAGAAGGAGGAGGAGAGGGAGGAGGAGGAGGAGGAGGAGGAGGAGGAGGAGGAGGAGGAGGAAGAGGAGAAGGAGGAGGAGGAAGAGGAGGGCGGAGGAGAAGGAGGAGGAGGAGGAGGGAGGAGGAAGGAGGAGGAGGAGGAGGGAGGAGGAGGAGGAGGAGGAGGAGGAAGAGGAGGAGGAGGAGGAGGAGAGAAGGAGGACGAGGAGGACGAGGAGGACGAGGAGGACGAGGAGGAGGAGGAGGAGGACGAGGAGGAGGAGGAGGAGGAGGAGGAGGAGAGGAGGAGGAGGAGGAGAGGAGGAGGAGGAGGAGGAGGAGGAGGCGGAGGGCGGAGGAGGAGGAGGAGGAGGAGGATTTTTTGTTCCATGCTCGGGCCATACGCACGCGGCTCTGGCCAGTCACCCTCCAGGTGGGGTGGCCCGACGGTGCCTGGGCGTGCCGAGTGGCGGGGACCCAGGACAGAGACCGTCAGGCGGGTGGCCCCTCACAAGCACGCAGCACCGCCGAGATGGCGGTGGGGCTTGGACGGGGGCCTAGTCCGACTCGTCCTCGCCGAAACCCACAGGAGGGATGAGCGGTTCCCCATCCTCCTCTTGGCGCCTGCTGGAGTGCAGCTGGCGCACTCGTCCGGCCTCGGACCGCTGTGGGCGAGGCACAGGGTGTGGGGTCGGCTGGCTCGGGAGCGGCATCGCAGCGCGCGCTGCTGCTTTCTCTCTCTGCGCGCGCTGCTGCCTTTGAATTTCTGCGGTATTGTACCGCTCGGACTCTGAAGCAAAAAGACGAAATCTGGGATGCTTGCCATCCAATAGACGATTTCTCACATTCGCACGTCCGCCACTCTTGGGAGGCCGTCCAGGACAGGTGGCGGGCAAACCTCTGAAAGCATACTGGGCATAGCGCCCACAGACTAAACAAAAGACAACAGGCACGGCAAAATGCGCGATTGCCATCTGATGGCTGGCATGAATAGCTTCTAGGCCGCGCCTGAATGCGCTGGCCAGTGGCTGGCATGCCTGCCTCTCACGTGCGACAGCGGCCTTATAGGATCGGGCGTACGTAAAACATGCTCTGCACCTGCACGGTATCGGCCCCTGAAGAACCTCCCAGTCGTGCACGACAATGGTAGCCTGAACCTTACAGGGCAGAGCGGCTCTCTCGCTCTTGTGCCTGTTGCGCTGGCACAAGGCAAGAACTCTGGGTGCATATAAACCAATCGCTCGAGCGGCCTCGATCTTGCGTTGCAGCTCCTGCAGCGCTGTCGGGTTGAAACTTGGGTGACAGTCCACAGCCACCTTCGCCATCTTGTCCGTTGCAGCATTGATCTCCGCAGCAAGTCTGGCCTCTCCAGCCAATGATTGCATATCCTGATGGCTCTTGACCTTAGAGGCCGTCTCGAGATGATGTCTGCTGTCCCGCGCAAGCGCAAGCTTGCGCAGGCCGGAATACTTAAGCTTACTGCTGAGACGTGTCGGCAGTGGCCTAGCGTGCTGATCAAGGACCGCTTTGCAGTCCACCCAGGTCTTCGAGGGTTTGGCGAGGGCCTCCTGGAGAACCAGGAAGCCCATGTGCTCCCCAGCCTGAGAAGTCTGGGGAAGGTTCGCAGCAACAGCGCCATACAAGGAGGCCTCTGGGGCCCCGTCGGTACTGTAAGCCACTACCGAGAACGTCGCTCTGTCTAGCTCCGCTATGCCTGTCTTGGTGAACGACCCGTCGGTTCCCGTGAGCCCCCCGAAGTGCGGTGCCGTGTCTGGCTGACCGTCGTGTCTGACGAATCGAACGATGGGATTCTCTCTGGGCAGCGGAAAATCATCATGCTGTTCCCCTGGGTGCTCGAAGAGACCGAAGCAGTACAGGGGGCTATTCTCTGGCGCCTCCAGCGCGGCCTGCAGCACGTCTGGCGGCAGCAGCTCTGTCCTGAGGGCAACTACCTCTGGATGCTGACAAGAAAAGAGACGATGGTGTATGGTGTCCCCGAAGACTTTACAGAGCGGGCACTCGTTAGGCACGTCGTAGCCTAGCTGAGCGAGTTTTTCTTCAGTCCACCATCCCTGGACCACAAGGGTTTGGAGAATGGCCTTAAACCTGGGGGGGGGCTTCTTGCTTTTGGGGGAAAGCAAGGCACGAACACGTCAAAACACACCCTCTTCATGGGGGTTGGGCTGGGTATGCTCTTAGCTGCAATAGTTTCCCATCTCCTCTGGCATCCTCGGTGCAGCAAGTCGGAAAGCAGGCTCGGCGAGGTGTCAGTGAGCCTGACCGTCCTGCCAAAGTGGTCCTGCAGCGTGAAAGCGGATGTGAAACTCCAGCCAATTCGGTGAAGCGCATGGGCTGCCGCACTGAGTGGTCCTCGCACGGCGTTATAACACAATTGTCCTGTTGGCTGCACGTTGTTATAAATCTGCTTGAGCTCAAGAAGTCCAAGGGTCCCCGGGGTCACGTATTTGCCAAGGGTGGTGTTCCACACTTCCTGGGCCCACCTGAGGACAGGCCCTAAGGCCCAACGGTCGGCCCTGGACCCCGTGAGGGCGAAGGCCGCACTCCTGGATTTCTTGGAGGAGCAAAGGGTAATTTGCGCAATCTCCAGAGACTGCAGCATATACAAAGACTTGTTGCTGAGACCGTCAACGGCGGCCCCGAAGGCCCCAGCAGGGAGGAGCCCAGTGGCGACAATCTTGCGACATCTTTGACCAGCGGTAGCAGTAAGCTTACGCAGGCGTTGCCCTCTGACCGTCGCGGTCCTGAGCCTGACCTTGTGCTTGGCGGCAGCGCCGTTGCAACCGAAGGACTTACCAGCCGTAAAATCGCAACCTAAGTTAGTGGCGACCGCTTGGAGCTTGCCCCCAGTGGCCCCAAGGGCCGACGTGAGGAGCCTGGCTAACGACACCGACGACGCAACGACCGCTCCTTTGTGAACCGCGATCCTGGCTTCTAGGTCTATCTCGATGAGACGGGCAAGCTCCTTGGCGGCACTGACAACACGCTTGAGCACCCTGACCGTGGTGCCGTGACAGGTGATGGACAGGTCATCCAAATAGAAATCGAAATAGACAGCCGAGTGCAGCGAAGTAATTCGCAGGAAAGCGTCAAAACAATAGATCCTGACATAAAGGATGCAGAAAGAACAGCCCGCTTCTATGCCGTTGGCGGCCGCTATAGGCTGAGCCACACAGCGCTTCCACGCTATGCGCCTCCACGAGCCATAACCTGCAAGGTGATATGCGAGCAGAGTCTCAGGAAAACCTAATGCGAGCGCTCGAGACCGCAATTTGTTGCGCTTGAAGCGCTCGAAGAAAGCCTCCATATCCCAGAGAACACCAGCAGAGGCCCCTCCGCCCGAGACGGCCCCTTCAGCTCTGAGACTCTGCCGCCATACCACGTCGACTGGTGATCTGCCTGCGCCGCAGGCAAACCAAGAGTAGTCGTGCTTAGCTATCCAGTCCTGGGCGAAATGCAAGCGCAGCTTGCCTGTGATTCTGTACATCATGGGAAAGATGCCGATGGGCCTGTAGCCGCCAGTGACTTTGCGGAGAAGCGCCACGAGGACCCACTGGAGCTGCCCTGGAAGCTCCCCTAGAACCTCGGAGATGTAGATGAGTCTGGCAAAGGCCTCGAGGGCCTCATCAGATAACATACTAAGGTGCCTCATGTGGAACCCGTCGAGGGAGACGGCAGATGACTTGGAGTAACTCTTGGATAGGTCCCTGAGAGCTTCTACTGAGGGGATCCCGATGGGTTCGTGGAGGTCGTTGTCCCTGTGGAAGGGGTTCTACCGAGGGCTCCCAAAAGTTCCCGAACTTGGCCTTGTAGGTGTCCAGGGTGCTCTGTATGGAGGCTGTGAGCTTACCCTCGATGACCACCGTGTCAGGCTCCCATTTGGTACGCTCCTTAATGAACTTGTGTGCGGCCTTGGCCCCCTTGTCGAGGGCCTTGTCTACCCACTCCTTCCAAGAGCTGGCGTTGGCTGACCGCACATCTGAAATGACCTTCTTAGCGCATGCGTCAGCTCTGGCCTTGAAAGAGAGCAGCTGCGCGACTGTGGCAGCTATCTTGCGGAGGAGGAGGAGGAGGAGGAGGAGGAGGAGGCGGAGGGCGAACGAGGAGGAGGAGGAGGAGGAGAAGGAGGAGGAGCAGCAGCAGCAGCAGCAGGGAGGATGGAGAGGAGGAGGAGAGGAGGAGGAGGAGGAGGAGGAGGAGAGAGGAGGAGGATGAGGAGGGCGGAGGAGGAGGAGGACGAGGAGGAGGAGGAGGAAGGAGGAGGAGGAGGAGGAGGAAGGAGGAGGAGGAGGGGGAGGGAAAGGAGGAGGAGGAGGAGGTGGAGGAGGAGGAGGAGGAGGAGGAGGAGGAGGAGGAGGAGGGGGAGGAGGAGGAGGAGGAGGAGGAGGAGGGAGGAGGCGGAGGCGAAGGAGGAGGAGGAGGAGGAGGAGGAAGAAGGAGGAGGCAGCAGCAGCAGCAGGGCTGAGGATGGAGAGGAGGAGGAGGAGGAGGAGGAGGAGGAGGAGGAGGAGGAAAGAGAGGAGGAGGAGGAGGAGGTGGAGGAGGAGGATGAGGAGGAGGAGGAGGAGGAGGAGGAGGAGGAGGAGGAGGAGGAGGAGGAGGAGAGGGAGGAGGGAGGAGGAGGAGGAGGAGGAGAGGAGGAGGAGGAGGAGGAGGAGGAGGAGGGAGGAGGAGGGCGGAGGAGGAGGAGGAGGAGGAGGAGGAGGAGGAGGAGGAGGAGGCAGGGAGGAGGAGGAGGAGGAGGAGGAGGAGGGGGAGGGGGAGGAGGAGGAGGAGGAGGAGGAGGAGGAGGAGGAGGAGGAGGAGGAGGAGGAGGAGGAGGAGGAGGAGGAGGAGGGAGGAGGAGGAGGAGGAGGAGGAGGAGGAGGAGGAGGAGGAGGAGGAGGAGGAGGAGGAAGGTCAACCGCGCCTGGGCCGCCCCCATGGCGCGCCGCAACAGCGCCGGGCAGCCGCGGCAGCGTCCTGGGGCAGCACGCCTCCGCGCGCCCCGCGCGGGGCGGGCGACGCGGTTCGGCCGGGCGGCTCGCGCCAACGCTCGGACGTCCACTCCCCGTGCATGCTTCGGCTTCGTGCGTGTATTTTGTTCGTTTGACCCGTCCCCCTGAGCGCCTCGCTTTTCCGCCCCCTCTTTCGGCCTTGTCCTCATCCTGCTTCCCCCCTTGCATGGCGGCACAACTTGCCTTGACGGCACCCCCGTCCAGGGCTTTCCGCTAGCGCAGACTTCCCTTGCCTCGCCGCCGACGCCCCAAAAAAGTGCATGCTGTTCGCAAGATGGCCCAACATGCTCCTCCGTGGTCCTTGCCGAGAGAATGCACGCGTCCGCGCGATGCCAAGGGAAGCCTTGGACAGCGGCGCCGCTAGGGAGGCCACGCGGGCAGAGCCGAGCAACAAAATGCACACGTCCGAGCGATGCCAGGGTGGGGCGGGCGGCGCGACGCGTCGGGCGGCCTCTGTGGCAACTCCTGACAGGGCCTCCCGTGCCTTCTCGCTGGCTCCTGCGACATCGGCGCTCATCGACGATGAGTACATCGACGGCGGTCGACGCACATCGACGCTGGATTGGCACCTGCGCATCGATAGCCAGACGCTGGCGCACGCCAGCGCACTCTGAGAACAAAGACATTGCGAGGAGACACAAGGCTCCCATGATTGGATACCGAAGGTGGCGGAGTGTACTGCAGATCGAGTGCTCAGTGCCCTGAAATCTGAGCCCAGCTGCCTCAGTGCATCAAGACCCCGCCGATTCACCAGGATCAGCGCGCTGGGCCCGTGGCGTGGCCTCGCCCAGGTCCCTTCCAGCACCCCAGCGGGCCACCCTCGTTCCTCGCCCGCGAAGAGCCGCGAGGCGCCGAGGGGGCCCACTGCGTTAGCACTCTCCACGGCGTGGACCACCCGTGAGGTTCCTCCCTCTGCCACCCCGCGCGGGGCACGCGGCGCGGGGCGGGGGGGGGGGCAGCCCCTACGCTGCGGATGACCCGAGGCTGACGCGCTCGCCACTTGATCGGCGCTCGATCGCCACCGACTTTCGGCACTCGATCGCCCCTGGCCGAGGAGGTTCGGCGGCGCGCCCGGGGGGGGGGAAGGCAAAGGGGTCGGGCCGAAGGCCTCTGGTCTTTGTGAGAAGCTTTTGCGTAGGCCGTCGCCGACGCCACAGGGGGGTTCTCAGAAGGCCCGCAAGGGCCAAGGGCGTCTGAGAAGCCTGAGAAGCCCCGCCGCCTTCTGAGAGGCCCTGCCCCCTCGTACTCCGCACTCCTCGGAGCGCCGCCGAGGCGTGGCAGCACTTACAAGTCAGCTGCCTCGTCCAGGCGCGTCCTCGCCACCGCGCCAACGCGGCGCTCACCCGCCGTGCCCCTGCAGGCAGGACCTCCGAACCGCCCGCGGTGGGCCGAGATTGCACGGGCCTCGACGGCCCAGCGACGAACCCCCACGGCGGGGGTGTCGAACCCGGCAGCGCCGAGCGGGAGCCGCCAGGCTCGGGCGCCTGCAGGGCCGAGGCGCCTCTGCGAGGGCACGACCCTTGCTTGGACCTGGGCCCATCCTGGCCGGTCCCACTCCGCCTCTGCCTGAGGGGCAGCGCTCGGGGGGGGCAGCGATCGGCCCCCCAGGGAGACCAGCGTGGACCTGGCCACCGGCGGTGCGTCGCCGATCGAATCGGCGATTTTGATAGGGCCCCTGACTGCGAGCCCGCCCAGTTCCTCGGCGGGGTTGAAGCACCACGGCCTCGACTGGAGAGGGATGCTGGGGTCGACGACGCTCCTTCCCTCGCCCCTGAGTCGGGAATGGACAAACCTCCCTTTAGTAAACCCCCCCTTAGTGGAAACGGCCTGGGACCGAAACCGACGGACCTGGACCCGCAGAAACGACGGCCGCGACGCCCTCTCGCGAACCGAAGACTGCCAATTCACGAATCGACGTGTCAGTGGTAGGAGGTCTGCCCACCCCCGACGGAGTTGTTTGCCCGGCGGACTGCCTCCGGGGCTCGAGGTCCTCAGCGCAGCGGGCCCTGGGCCCCAGTGGGCTCCCCGCGGGGCCCCAGCTCTTCCCCGCGAGTCGCTGCGCGACGGCCCCGGGGCCTAAGGCTGGCCCCATGGAGGCCGAGCGCGGCGACAGACCTCGGGACCTCCCAGAGGACACAAAATAGCTCTTGAGGGCCTTGAGGGGCCTCTGAGGGCCTTGATGCAGAGGCCCAGAGGTCTCGAGGGCCTTGCTGCATCAGGGCTCTTGGGCCTGTTTCCCTCGAGGCCAAATCCCAACTGGACCTGCTTCCCTCCAGGCCCGTCTGCACCAGGGCAGGAGGCCGTCCCCTCCCCCCGACCTCGGCGCTGCAGCCGGGAGGCCCCGCGGCCGCGGCGGTCACCGGGCGCCCATGGCCGCCCGGGCCGCCCGCGCCCGCGCCCGCCCCCCCTCGCACAGCGAATTCGGCGCTGCCCTGCGGGAGTGCGGCGCGGTTTCCTGCACTGCGCGGCCGAGGGCAGCGCGCGCGAGCACAAGCTGCTTGGAGTCGCGGCCGCGCGCGCAGCGACGCAGGGGGGTCAGTCACCAGCGAGCCCAAAGAGCACGCTCGCACACACACAGACACACACACACAAACACACACACACACACACGCACACGCACACGCACACACACACACACACACACACTCACACACACACGCACACACGCAAACGCACACGCACACACACACACACACACTCATTCACTCACCCACTCACTCACACACATACACACAGACAGACACACAAACAGACACACAAACACACATCGCATACACAAACACACACACACATTTACGCATACGTACTTGTACATGTGTACATATACACAAGTATGCATTTTTTACTTTGCACATATATATATAATATTCACATATATATATATATGATATATGATATATGATATATGATATATATGGAATCGCAGCCACGCGCATAGCGGCGTGGCGTAAACAAGCCCAGAGAAGCGCACGCACCGGCCCGGCTCACGCGGGGCGCGCCAAGGGCGGCGCTGGAGGCGCCGCCGGGAGGCCCCAGCGCGGACCCGAGAAATCCACGCGGGGCGCCACACACTTATGTTTAACTCGGGCATGTCCCTCTACAGGAGGAATCTTCAAACAGAACAACAAAATAGCCAGGGGACGATCTTCCGAGTACCTTTGGCTATTTTGAGGCACTTTGCGAGTATGTGTTATCATTCGTCCCAAATCCTCCGATCCTCCTGAAAAAGGACATGCCCGACCTAAGATTATGTTCGTGCCGCTTGTTCCTCCTCGAGATCCGGGAGCATCCCTTTTGAGCGTCCACGGCGAGGCGCAGGGGCCGGACAGAGCACCCCGAGGCCAGAAGAAAAAAACACGCCGCTCGCCATCGCTTGGACGTCAATTCCCTGTGCATGTTTCGGTTTCGTGTGTGTTTTTTTGTCGCAACCGCAGGCGAGGGCGCCAGCGGCGAGTGAGGTCCGAGCGGGCCGCGCAAGAGCCGAATTGCCTAACGCCGGCGGGCCGGCGACCTCAGCAGCGCCTCGGCGGGCGGGCCGGCGTGAGGGGGGGGTGCAAGCTGCAGCTGCCAGGGACCAGGTCCAGGGGCGCGCACATGCAGGATTAACCAACCGGGGCTGGGGCGCAGCCAAAATCGCGCGAGGGTCGTACAGTGCGTGTGTTTTTTCGGGAGCGGCCAAGGGGGGGGCGTCCAAGAGGGGGGGGTGCAAATCATGACCGGCGGCATGTGCGCGGCCCAGCGGGGGTGCCAGGGACGTAATGAAACAAGAAAAGGCGCCATGAGATCTGGGGAAATATCATGGCCCGCGCCATGATATCCACCCCCCCCTAGTCATCACCCCCCTCTTTTCCGCCCCCGATTTTTCTCGCAACGTGAACAAGAATGCTCCTCGCTGGCCCTTGCCGGGCACAACAAGTGCACACGCCCGGGCGATGCCAAGGCCGAGGGCCGACGACGCCGTCGGAGGTCGGCCCCCGCGGGGCCCGCCGCGGCATGTGCGCGGCCCAGCGGGGGTGCCAGGGACGTAATGAAACAAGAAAAGGCGCCATGAGATCTGGGGAAATATCATGGCCCGCGCCATGATATCCACCCCCCCCTAGTCATCACCCCCCTCTTTTCCGCCCCCGATTTTTCTCGCAACGTGAACAAGAATGCTCCTCGCTGGCCCTTGCCGGGCACAACAAGTGCACACGCCCGGGCGATGCCAAGGCCGAGGGCCGACGACGCCGTCGGAGGTCGGCCCCCGCGGGGCCCGCCCCGTCTCGCGCCCGTATTCGCTCGCAGGCGCAAGCGCTAGGTCGGGCGTGTCCCCCTGCCGGCGGGTTTTGGACGAAGAACAGCAAAAATATAGTTACATATCTCAAAATTGTCTCCGAAAACATACTAAAAAACGCACCCCACAAATATCCAAAAATAGTCGAACAGTCGTCCCCAGACTATTGTTCCCTATTTTTGGATATTCCTCTTGTAGAGGGACAGGCCCGACTTAAGGCAAGCTGCGCAGGTTAAGTAGGAGGCAGCTCCTGTACGGCGTCACCAGGAGCGGGACAGCGTCGTACTGGGATGTGTGAGCAAAGGAGCCCAGGGACACAACAAAAATACCACCAGTAATCCCAGGATCCCCCACACGTTCCTTCATTTTCTTGGCCTTCGTCTTCCACCCGCACTTCCCATATTTTCCGAGGGGCGAAACAGAAAGTAGAATCGGGGATCTCTGGAGTCCGGCTGTCCCAAAAGAGGTATCTAGAAAAAAACTGCATGAACAACAACGTTCGGCGCTCCGCAAAGATTTCTTGGGTCTGCGCTGGACCCCTCTGAATGGCGCGCGGAACGCCCAAGGGCGGTGCCAGACGCGGATCCGAGAAATCCGCGCAGAGCCCCGAAAATTCATGTTGATGGCGTTTGTTCTTCTTCTACTTCTTCTCAT